CGTGACAGATTTCATTTCCCGCCCCCCCCTGCAGAAAAAAAGATGGCTGCTTTGTGGCGTAGAGGAGACGCGGGACAGAATAGTGGGGAAGTCCGTCGAGCGCGTAAAACCTGCTGTTTTATATTCAATTATATAAAACGTTAATTTGGAAGATAAGCCAAACGCCCGGAGTTAGTAGAAGAAAACTGAGTTTTGCGGACGCGACTCCAAAGTTCCCCGTCCTCCGCTTTGGAAAACTTGACCCGAGAAGCGTTGTGGAAAAGCAGTTGTGCGTGAGGTTGCGGAGTGGAGCGGGGGGGGGGGGGGGGGGGGGAGAGAAGTCCCGTGGTGAGTGCCTGGCCGTATGATCGTAACTTCACTTATTTGCAATATTTAGCTGTCACACTCGGATTATTAAAAATATATATATATCTAAAGGCGGTTTCCAACGAATGCAATACTAAAAGCCACACAGAGGCTTATGCTTCACTGAGGCTTATTCCTAAGTAAATAGGCAGCCTTACGATGCAAACAGTAGGTTTTCGACCTTGTGGCCCAACCCTGTTATCCCAGGATCTCGACGGTCGACGCCGCCGTTCTGTGGACCTGTGGCGTTCTCGCGCTTCCAGAACCTAGATCTTGTGCGGTACACAATGGACTGTACCACTTCAAACTTGGGGTGTGTGTGCTCGTCTACATTAAAACTTTCAGTGGTTCAAATCCCATGTCCGATATGAATTTCATAGGTGCCTTTAGGCATCTGTATTGGCTGCCTCACCTAGCTGTCTGTAATGGGGGTGGTGCTGAGCTACTAAAAGCGTTGGTTCAAGGATAAGAAAATAATGTATGTGAAATGCTTTCTGAATACGTTATTATATATTAAAGCAGATTTTGACCTATAAAGAATTATGCCACAATAAATGTGCTTGTCTCGAAGGTGACACAACAATTTTTGTTGTACCTGGGCAACATTTGTGATGTAAGATTGTCAAGATGTCATTTTATTATGGGGCAAAATTGAACTGAGACAGGGTTGCTCATGGTTATGGTCACAGTATCTAGTGGAACGCTTTTGAGTAGATTCGTAAATGTTTTGGGGGAAAGTCTAATTCAGAGGTATTTTAATCTCATGTATAATTGCAAATTACAATTATTTCTGGAGGACTGAGAAAATAAGGCAGTTAAAATGTATTGCCTTTTATTGGTTACATCCTCCAAAATCAAAATTGTGCAGAAGCAAAATGTGTTCCTCCAACCAGTGTGGGAACAACTTGCTGTTTGCACACAGATTATATAGTATTTATAATGCCTGTTTAAAGGCACAGGTCCTGTACCTAGGAACTCTGTTTAGCAGCTTTATTTAAGAGTTCTGCCTGGTTCAGACTTATTAGTAAAGAGCAATCACAGGCTATTTGTTTTTACTAATTTAGGCTTGGATCCTACATGCACTTTTAGCTTTCTCAAGGCACTTCAGCTATTGTAAGAGGGCAGTTTTTAAAAACTGATTTACGCTTCTTGTTGCCGTTCTCCACTCCTAGCCTCATGATGTTCCTGAAGAGTCACTGACCCATGAAGGCAACGGAAGAGTGTGGCAGCAAAGTCACCATGTGCACACTGCACAGCTCTCCTCACCAAGCATGGGATCGAAGCTGTAGACCTGAAATAGTTTTAAGAGCCAAATTTCACACTCGCTTTTGTTTCTCAATAGGAATCTCTGAAGGCTTGGAAGCAATCAAGACAGCCATGACACAAGAATATGTCTTGAATATGTAATATCACTTGCATGATCCAAGGTGTGGACATATCAAATATGATCTTCTGCCATTACCTATTGTTAAAATGGAACATGGTTGCATTTTTTTCTAAGCCATAACAACTATATTAAATCTGGGTCTACTTTTTGTAAGTGTTAAGTGGGGATTAATAAAATGTATATTAACGTTAGTGCCATTCATTTGAATATAGGAAATTCCTTCAGTTCTCTATCTCACCCCACCATTTTCTGTGCTTTCATTCCATTTTTAATCAGTGCCTGTAACAGCAGCTTAGAGAAGATCAGCACTGTAGTTTTGAAAATTCTTTCCACATTCATTAACTGCAAGTTAAAGTCCACCTCCTAAAATGCAAGATGCTTAAATTGGTCTTAACTTCTAAATCTGTAAGGATCTTGCTTCTGCAAAATTGTACAAGTTGGATGCTTGAAATCCATTGCTAATAATTAGCAGGAATTGTGTAAGAATCACAATAGAAACATTACACTGTCTTGAAATAAAGGAATATTCACCATAAGAGAAGCCAATGTTGGATCAAGCTAATGGCCCATCCAATCCAACTCTGTCACACAGTGGCCAAAAATACCAGGTGCCATCAGGAGGTCCATCAGTGGGGCCAAGACACTAGAAGCCCTCCCACTGTTGCCCCCCAAGCACCAAGAATACAGTGTATCACTTGCCCCAGACTGAGAGTTCCTATCTATACCTTGTGACTAATAGCCACTGATGGACCTCTGCTCCATATGTTTATCTAATTCCCTCTTGAAGCTGTCCATGCTTGTAGCTGCTGCCACCTCCAGTATTCCCTTTTGAGATACATTTGACTCCACTTAAAGTTATAAGCTAGGCAAGGAGTGGGATGCATCTGGCCAGGGCTCTCATATGGCTCATGAACCACCCCTAGGATCTCCCTAGTAAAGGCTGCTGACCCTGCTGCAGGAAGGACGTGCTGTCACAAGGGCTGTAGTTGACAACACTCAGTAGAGAGAACGAGTGCTTTATTATTTATGTCCTTGAACATATCATTCTGTCCTTGGCAGCTGCTCCATGCTACAAGAAGTAATTGTCCTCATGGTGTGCCTGGGTGGTAGCTAGGGAAACAAGGTAGCAGATATGGGGTAAAGCTCCTGGGACAGGCACACAGTGGAGAGGTTGAATACCTCCCAATCCTTGTCAGCTCACATCCATTCAAGTACCAAGTTGGCTACAGGACAAGGGCAAGGAGCCCACAGTGGAGAGTTGGAGACAAATAATCTCCCTCTTATCAACTTTCCCTCTCCATCATGGCCAGCCACCTCTTGTTCGAGCCCAGTCACTGGGATGGGTGCAGTGATGTCTTCACCTCCCCTCAGGCTTTATTAATTATTTTTTATTGGATTTATATCTCACCCTCCCTGCAAGTGGGCTCAGTGGCAGGTCACAACAGTTAAAATTTCAATTTCCAGTATCCCCTGGTTCCTCTGGTGTTGGGCATATGCTGACAAAGATAAGGACCCACTCAGCAGAAGCCACGGTGTTCTCCAGAAAGGGCAGTTCACTTGGGCAGTATAGATAGGGGAGGCCAAAGTATTTAGATGTCCACTGCCTCAACCAAAGGCCTGAATCCGGTACACAATTGTCAGCAGGTGCGCCATCGCATTTTGCACTAGCTGCAGTTTCTGGGTCCGATTCAAGGGCAGACCCACGTAGTGCACATTACGGTAACCTAACCTGGAAGTGATCACTGCATGGATCACTGTAGCTAACTCCCAGGAGGAGAGATAGGGAATCATCTGCCTGATCAGATGAAGATGGTAAAAGGCCAATCTGACAGCCATGTTGACCTGGGCCTTCATAGAAAGTGAAGCAACCAGGACCACCCCCCAGGCTCTTCACCCTTGGCACAACAATGTCCCACCATGAGTTGGGAGCCTGATTCCCAACCCCCCTCCCCATGACTCAGGTACAGGACCTCTGTCTTTGTTGGATTTAATCTCAGCTGATTCTGTTTTAGCCACCCAGCCATGGCCTCCAATGACCTGGTCCAAGGTTTCTGGGGCGGAGTCTGTCCATCCATCATCAGAGTACTGGTGACAGCCCAGCCCAACCCCCTGGACTAGCTGGGTGAGGTGCGCATATAGATGTTAAACAGCACCAGCAAGAGGATCGGCCCCTGTGGCACACTGCATTCCAACAGGTGCTGCGGAGAGATCCTCTCGCCTAGCGCCACTCTCTGTCCCTGACCATGGAGAAAGGAGGAGAGCCATTGTAAGACAGTCCCCTGTACCCCTACGTTGGTGAGGCAATGGGTCAGTAGATCATGGTCGACCATGTTGAATGCTGCTGTTAGGTCCCAGAACAACAGCAGCGTCACCCCACCTTGATTGAGATGTCTCAAGCTCATCTGTGAGGGCGACCAGCATAGTCTCCGTTCTTGCTGTTGTTCCTGCAACTGTGTGGGCACTAACATAAAAGACGGTTTTTCCAGCTCTGCAGTGACTGTGAAAATTATAGCTAAATCCCCAGAAATAAGGATGTGGACACTGGAGCCAAACACAAGGCAGTGGGTTTGGCCACAGCAGCTTACACACACTAGTGTCAGCTTTCTTGGGCTGCTGCATACCTCTACAACCATCTGAAAGACTTTGCCACACAATACTCCCTACTGGAGGAGTTAATACTATTTAGTTAGTTTTAACAAAGTGTGTGTGCATTTGATATCTGCCTGACTGAGTAACACCTGTTGTGGATCCAGTCCTCATAATAAATGAATTCAACACCCCTGATCTAGGCTGTACTGTCTCAATTACCTGAAGTGTAAGATGAGGTAGAGTACACATATTTAATAAGTAATGGGTGACATTGTGCGTTCGGTATAAACCAAAATCTTCCAAGGAGCTAAACTGTGGTGTTGAGGACAGAGGGTACAGTCCCAATGCATTGCTATTTGGAAGAAAGTTCAAAACAGTTTTGAGTTTGACACACAAGTTATGGAACTGTGTGGAAAAATGGGAGGAGAGATTTCAATCAGAAGTATACTTGAATGAATGGCCTTATTTTTAAATGAGATGCTAACACAGTATAGAAGCTTTCAGTGACTAGGTCACTAAATAGGACAAAAAATACAAATGAAAGTTTATGAAATATATTCCTCCATGTGCTCAGCATAAAGACTCATACCACATATATTCAAAGCATTGTATTTATTAACATTTCAATAAATACCATGAGTTCAGCCTCTGCCCTAAAGCAGAAAAAGAACCATCAAGATTCTTGTGTTACACTCCATTGCCAGCAATGGATACAGAACGGTCCCAAGAGGTTGATAAATAATTCTAAATTAACAAACTATTTAACCCACTTAAGGCTGCTACACCTTAAGAATCAGCACATGGTACACATCTGGAGTTTATCACCAAAATACGGGGATCCCATGACTGAATGCTGCTTTCCCCAAGCACAGAGTATTAGCACTAATGGCAAAGATTAGGCTAGAATTCTTACATGCCAGCTTCCTACAGAAAGAAAATGTGAGCTTAAGGACCATTCAGCCATAGGATTCTGAAGTGAGATGGCAGTATCACATAATTCTTAGCGTGCACAACAGCTTTGAATATCACAGCAGTTTCTGAACATGCTAGTTCAAATGTGTGCTACAAGCTTCATATGCAACACTAAAGTTCTTCATGGAAGAGAGTAATTCCTTACTGCCAACTGATCTTCACAAAAATAAATTGGTATTCCATTTAAAATAGGATGTTGTCTAATGAATTGTTAGAAAATATTGGCAATCATTAATAGGAATTAAAGGAGGCTTAGCAATATTTCATCCAGTGATGCTTCTCTTGCTAATAGTATTCCCACACGTACACAACAATTTTTTTGCATCAGTTCGTATAATATTTCAAGCTCACTGACCTGCTGGATAAAGAAAAGCCACAGAACAAAAACTGACTCTAAAATTATTTCAAAATATCATCTCAAAATCCCCTCAGTCAAGACGTGGGCCATTTTAAGTTATGCATGCCTTCTGTTTAAAAGTGTTTTTTACAAAAAGAAATGCATGTAAACGAAACAATTTCAATCAGTCAGCCTGTTCAGCAGACTTGAAATATGCTGGGTATAATCCAACTCCCATTGTACCATAAAAAACAAACTCCAGTCACTTTAGCATGTTAGTAATATAAAACGAACAATTTCATTCCACAGTTTCTCTAACCCAAGGCAGGTTTTTTGATACATTTTCCTGTGTTTTAGGGTCCTGGAAATTTTCAGCAAACCTCTCTCTTGCCTTTTCCCAGTTCCTCTTGTTCTTTGTGTTGACAATCTGAGCATTTTCCACTGAGATGGGAGTACTTGCACCCAGGCCTGCGTGCTTTCTATGCAGTTGTAGTGTAATCTGTCAGACATTGGATTTTTAAAATAAGTATGCTATTTTGTAACTTTAAAGCATTTATACTTTTTAAATACCTAGCTAGCATGTTGAGAATTGCATCATGATAAAATCCGAAAACTATGCTTTTGTTACTGTGCTAAAACATAGCATTAAAAGCATGTCCCGCTCAGGCAAGCCATGAGTGCAACAGGCTTAATGGTTAATCATCCAGCTCAAATACCCACATCAAAGATAGGGTGTGTCTCTAAATTACAGAACCCCCTGTCCAACTTTTGCTGGAAAAGCTTCAAGGAATAGGACTCCACAGTTTTCCTGAGCAGCTTTGTGAATTGCTGAATGCGCTTCTAGTTCGAAAATTCTTCCCAAATATTCAACCAATAGATCTATCTCCTTGGAGCTGAACTACCACAAATATAATCCTGTCTCTCAAATCTATTTTCTTAACTACTATCACTCTTAGTCACAATAGCATGATGTAGAATTTAAAATGTAAAAGTCTAAACTATGAAGTCTGCTGTATTTGTTTTACAAAATTCAGTACTATAGAAAAGCTACACATATTTTGATTTTTCAGGGCATTTGGTATCTACTATCAGTGACTTTTAAGATCAACATCACATTCCTGTAGAAACACAACAAAATATCACTTTCATTCTTGACTATTGTCTTGACATACTTAAATTGTCATCATGGTCAGTATCCTATGTGTTTCCCCCTCCAGCCACTGTTTCCTCTGTGTCTGCCCTTACTACCATCTTCCTATGGGATGACTATTCGAATATGGATGAATAAAATTCATCAGCGTAATCCTCCACACACAGTATGTTCAAATCCATGTAGATTGTATTAAGAGTAGCAGAAAACATCCAGTGTGATTGCGGTAACTTTAGTGTAATTTCTGTGCAATCTGTAGAACCAACCAGACTTACCGGATCTTTCATTCC